TTCTCTTAATGGAAAAAGTCTAGATCCATCTCAGAGAGTTGCATATATTAATTGCACGTAATTTTGTGTTGCAGCCACTGCAGTTCTAAAATAGCACACTGTGTGTTAAATTAGTATGTCTTAGCCTATCTGATGTAGCAACCAGAACTACTTTTGTGCTCATTGTGGGCAGAATTGTTTCTTTCCTGGAATGCATCTACAAACTAGAATTAATGCAGTGTGACATCACTTTAGCTGCCTTGGCTCAATTCTATGGAATCCTGGGATCTGAAGTCCAATGAAGCATCAGCACTCTTTCCAGAGAGAAGCCTAATGCCTTTGTAAAACCACAATTCCCACAATTCTATAGTACTGAGCCATGTTAGTTAGTATATTAATTTTACAGTGGAAATGCACTCCTAAAAACATTCAAGTGACTAGGATCCTACGTCTTATAGACTGGCACCAGTCTAGAAACCATCACATTAAGTAACAGTAGGTTAAACAAAGACCTAACCTGTTCCTTGAGCTTTTGATCATACAACTGACTGTAAATTCCAGAGCAGCTATTAAAAATACATTTTTGAAATACAATGCTGATATTCTATTGCCACCTAATGTCCACAACTGGTACTACTTCAATTACCACACCTTCAAGTGTCCTGTTGACTTAAGGCAACCTCATAAATTTCATCAGCTTTTCTTAGGCACCGAATACTACTCTGAGGTGGTTTGCCAGTTCCTTCCTCTGAAATATAGCCTATCAATATTCTACATCTAAACAAAAGTTCTGGGAATCAGATATACCATTCACACATCTAGAGCATTCCCAACGTATGCTTAAAACTTTCAGCAACTGAGAAGTCCCAGCCTCACAAGGTAATTTATGCTAAGAGGTTTCTTCTGATAACTTTCAAGTGAAAGCTCTCCTCCTATAACTTAAACCTGATTGATATACCTATGTTTCCTTTTGAACTGAGCAAAGTATTCCAGATTAAGTCTAACGAATAAAGAATATTGTAGAATTATTCTTTGTGATAGCTTCGTGTACATTTTATACTTTCTTAACCACTCCTGGCTGACTGGCACAACCTGGGGATCACAACCAGACACAGTGAAGACATCTGCCCTTGCGCTATGCTACTCTGCTGCTGAGTACACATGCCCAGTGTGGAACACATCTCACCACACTAAAACAGTAGATGTGGCTCTTAATGAGACATGCCGCATTATCACGGGGTGTCTGCGCCCTACACCACTGGAGAAATTACACTGTTTAGCCGGTATTGCACCACCTGACATCTGCCGGGAAGTAGCAACCAATAGTGAAAGGACCAAGGCAGTGACACCTCCAGCTCATCCCCTGTTTGGGTATCAGCCAGCACGTCAATGACTTAAATCAAGAAATAGTTTTCTAAGATCTACAGAGACACTCGCTGGAACACCTCAGCAAGCGAGAGTCCAAAAGTGGCAGGCTCAAACCCAGAACCTCAATCAATGGCTGATACCAGATGAGAGACTCCCCCCTGGGCACACAGAAAACTGGGCGACTTGGAAGGCGCTGAACAGACTGCGCTCTGGCACCACGAGATGCAGAGCCAACCTTAAGAAATGGGGCTACAAAGTGGAATCCACGACATGCGAGTGTGGAGAAGAACAAACTACAGACCATCTGCTGCAATGCAACCTGAGCCCTGCTACATGCATAATGGAGGACCTTCTTGTAGTAACACTAGAGGCACTCCAAGTTGCCAGGTACCGGTCAAAGGACATTTAATCAACTACCAAGCCTGCAAACTTTGTGTTTTGTTTGTTTGTTAAAAATGCAATACAACCGTTTGGTTTGCTCCTGACATGATAAATAAATAAACAAACCACACATACTCATTTTATGAACCTCATGAAGTAGGTCCTAGGAAAGCTCATTTCAAAATACATCTATTACAGTTCTGGTTTGTGTTAATAACACTATAATACAGGAACATTTTTGCATCCTGTGACATGCACTGGGAACACAGCAGACAACCACTTCTTTTTCCACTATATTCCTTTTTGGCCACCCTTACCTTTCCCAAACTTCTGATGGCAAGGAGAGAAAATGAAGTAAAACAGTAGAAAGAACTGGTGGCCCTGAGACCTCAGGCAGCCGTGCAACCAAATTCAAGTGATGGCCTAAGATTGAGAGAGACAGTCCAGCTCAATCATAAACCAAATCCAAATTAAATTATTTGGATCAAACCCCATTCTAAACATGGTCTGGAGGGATTCAGTCCCTCACTATTTTTGAGTAGTGCATCTAGGGAGAGCATGATTTTGCAAACAGGCAGTGAATCTCACCTGGGAAGACTGAACATTACCAGCTCTGTTTTCCAGCTCTGAATGTTTTGCAGTAACTGCAGACAGCTGACTGTTCAGCCGATTCACCTCTTCGGATAAAGATTTTAGCAGTTGTTCCCTCTTAGCCATTTCCTTTGACTTCTCCTCCAGTTGACTGAGCAGACTAGCAGTGTCACTATTTTGGTTTCCACCCCTCAGTTTGTCTTTCAGAAGCTGGATTTCATGATCTCGTTCTCCAAGGATATTTTTATATTTTTCTGTTTCGGTTTGAAGGGCAAGTATTTTCTGCACAAAATGTAACCAAACATGTCACCACAAAAGAAATCAGAGCATAATGACATCAAATAATTCTTCAGTCTACAGGACACAGAAATCAATGCAGAGGTACATTTTAGGGTTTATAGCACAGTACCGAATGGATTAGAACAATTAGTAGCAACCCATTTAAGACTTGTATAGTCCATATGCAGTGTTGTCTTAGGTCTGAGAATTTTGTGGGTAATCATTTTCAATCTCAAAATGGTATCGATACATGGAACACAATACTAAATAACCTTTAAAGACATATACATATCAAAGTCTAGATAAATGATTATTTTTTTCACCTCCAGAAGCCTCTTCCTTTCTTCAGGTGTCATTTTGCTTTTTCCCTTAATGATGTCTTCCAGCGATTTTTTCAGGGCGGCATTCTCTTTCTTATAAATTTGCAACTCGGATTCAGACTTGGAATCACCAGATTTTAATCCCCACTTGCTGATACAAGTAGTCATTTCTGCGGTGGCCTTAGATGTCATATTCTAGGTGTTCTGGAAAAGTAATTAAGAACCAATGAAGAAAGCATTAAGAGCAACATAACTTGATATGCGTACATATTCAGGAGAAAAAAATCACCCAAAAGAGAAAATCTCACAGAGTTCAATGGGATTTAATACTCCAACAGCTATGTTCAATAGACTCTCAATTAACCGGCATCCATGGGGATTGGTAGATGTACGATAAAAGCAGTTTCTGGTGGCTTGAGAGGTACTATCAAAATAGGCCTAGGTAATACAACACCAGAGCCCCCGGTGGCGCAGTGGCTTAAACATCTGAGCTGCTGAACTTGGTGACTAAAAGGTTGACAGTTCAAATCTGGGGAGCAGGGTGAGCTCCCTCTGTTAGGCCCAGCTTCTACCAGCCTAACAGTTCAAAAACATGCAAATGTGAGTAGATCAATAGGTACTGCTTCGATAGGAAGGTAACGGCGCTCCATATAGTCATGGCAGCCACATTTTTCTTTTTTGTCGTGTCAGGAGTTGATCCTGTTGTGAGAGAATTGGCCGTCTGCAAGGACGTTGCCCAGGGGACGCCCGGATGATTTGATGTTTTTATCATCCTTGTGGGAGGCTTCTCTCATGTCCCCGCATGAGGAGCTGGAGCTGATAGAGGGAGCTCATCCGCTCTCTCCCGGATTCGAACCTGCGACCTGTCAGTCTTCAATGCCGGCACAGGGCTTTAACCCACTGCGCCACCGGGGCCAGCCACATGACCTTGGAGGCGTCTACGGACAACACCGGCTTTTTGACTTAAAAACAATCGGCACTGACAAAATTACCATCTGTCAGCTGCAAAAAGCCACTTTACTCGGATCTGCACGCATTATTCGCCGATACATCACAGTCCTAGACACTTGGGAAGTGTCTGACGTGTGATCAAATACAAAAGCCAGTATAGCGATCTTGTTTGCTGTGTACTGATCGTTATGTACCAAATTATTATTATTATTAATAATAATAATCAAACGTCTCAGAGATCTCACAAAATTTCACATCTGCTGTGCATGGATGACCTGAAGCTGTATGGGAAAACCAAAACTGAAATCCAGTCTCTAACTAACACTGTCCAAATCTTTAGCACAGATATCAACATGGAGTTTGGTTTGGACAAAAGTGGCACTGAAGAAGGGAAAAATAATTGAAAATGAGGGCATAAATATGCCCAATGGCCAAGCAATAAAGTGTCATCAGCCAGATGCCTATAAATATCTGAGCATACTACAGCTGGACAACATCAAACATGAACATGTGAAAACTGTGGTCAGCAAAGAATACATTCAAAGGGTCAGAAAAATTCTCAAAAGCAAGCTCAATGGAGGCAATATCATCAAGGCTATAAACACCAGGGCCATACTGGTATACTGATATACTGCTGGCATTATTAACTGGAAGCAGGCAGAACTGGACAATTTGGACAGAAAAACAAGAAAACTCATGACCATTCATAATTCACTACATCCTCGCAATGATGTTAACTGGCTCTATCTGCCTAGAAAGTCTGGTGGCAGAGGACTTTTACAAGTAAAACAAGCAGTCGAAGAAGAAAAACACGCCCTGGCAGAATATGTCAAGGAAAGCCAAGAACTTGCTTGAAGTCAATAATCAGAAACTTCTCAAAGCACAGCAGACAAAGAGTCAGTACAAGAAAACTGCACTCCAAACCAGAGCTGACAGCTGGCATAACAAAGCTGTGTCTTTGTTCCTTGACAACATTGAAGGAAAAGCTGACAAGGAGAAGACCTGGCTATGGCTCACGAATGGAACCCTGAAGAAGGAGACAAAAGGCCTGATTCTTGCAGCCCAGGAGCAAGCCATCAGAACCAATGCAATTAAGGCCAGGATCAAAAAATCAGCTGATGACCCAAAATGCAGACTGTGCAAGGAAGCTGATGAAACCATGGACCATATCCTCAGCTGTTGCAAGAAAATTGCACAGACGGACTACAAACAAAGACACAACTCTGTGGCCCAAATGATTCACTGGAACTTATGTCACAAGTACCACCTGCCAGCAGCAAAGAATTGGTGGGATCATAAACCTGCAAAGGTCATGGAAAATGAACATGCAAAAATACTGTGGGACTTTCGAATCCAGACTGACAAAGTTTTGGAACACAACACACCAGACATCACGATTGTGGAAAAGAAAAAAGTCTGGATTATTGATGTCGCCATACCAGGTGACAGTCGCATTGAGGAAAAACAACAGGAAAAACTCAGCCGTTATCAAGACCTGAAAATCGAACTTCAAAGGCTCTGGCATAAACCAGTACAGGTGGTCCCAGTGGTCATCGGCACACTGGGTGCTGTGCCAAAAGATCTCAGTCAGCATTTGGAAACAATAAACTTCGATAAGATCATGATCTGTCAACTGCGAAAGGCCACCTTACTTGGATCTGCACGCATCATTCGAAAATACATCACACCGTCCTAGACGCTTGGGAAGTGTTCGACTTGTGATTTTGTGATATGAATTCTAGATCTCGTTTGCTGTGACATACTGTGCTTTTGTGTCAATAATAATAATAGAAAACTGGCAAAAGAAGGCTTTCCATGGACAGTTCCTGGGAAGAAATTGAGAGCAATATTGACAAAGAAAAAACATGGCTGTGGTTCACAAATGGCACTCTGAGGGCCTAATTCTGGCAGCCCAAGAACAGGCCATTAGAACAAAGGCCATCAAAGCCAAAATTAAAAAGTCAACAACAGATCCCAAGTATAGACTCTGCAAGGAAGCAGATGAAACAATAGATCACATCCTCAGCTGGTGCAAGAAGATTGCAGACAGACTATAAGCACAAGCATCATGCTCAGATGATTCACTGAAACTTGTGCCACATGGCCGGAGGTTTAGCACAGCTGGTAAATCATCAGCAATTATAAGATCTATCAACCAAAAAGGCTGCAAGTTCAAAGTCCCAGGCTGGCATGAGCTGCCAACTGTTAGCCTAGCTCATTGTTTACCTAAGCAATTCGAAAACAGTTTTAGCTGTGATTAGAGAAATTAGGTACCGCTAAAAGCGAGGGATGTGTTTTACAACACCATAAAGAAAAAAGTATCAGAAAATGCTGGCCAGCCAAAAAGGAGGAGGAAGACCTGACGGCTCTTCATCATAGAGGATAGAGCAACAGACACCCCCTGGACACAAATCCAACCTTCTATGACACCAAAAACAGCTGGACACGGAGTCGAAACAAACCACTTTCTTCTGTTCTGTCTGTGTTGTCGATACAAAGCAGCTTTGAATGTTTGCCGTGTATGTGTACTGTGATCCTCCCTGAGTCCCCTTCAGGGTGAGAAGAGCAGAATATAAATAAAGTATTGTTGTTATCATCATCATCATTATTATATACCAGGGGTCCTCAAACTAAGGTCTGGAGGCCGGATACGGCCCTCCAAGGTCATTTACCCGGCCCTCGCTCAGGGTCAACTTAAGTCTGAAATGACTTGAAAGCACACAACAACAACAATCTTATCTCATCAGCCCAAAGCAAGCCCACACTTCCCATTGAAATACTAATAATTTTATATTTGTTAAAATTGTTCTTCATTTTAATTATTGTGTTTTTAAGTGGGTTTTTTTTTGCACTACAAATAAGATATGTGCAGTGTGCATAGGAATTCATTCATGTTTTTTTTTCCAAATAATAATCCGTCCCTCCAACAGTTTGAGGGACTGTGACCTGGCCCTCGATTTAAAAAGTTTGAGGACCCCTGTTATATACCATCTGCATGTGACAAAGAACTGGCGGGATCACAAGTCTGTAAAAGTTACAGAAAATGAACATGTCAAACTACTCTGGGACTTCTGAATTCAGACTGACAAGAGTTTTGGACCACAATACTCCTGACCTCACGATTGTGTTAAAAAACAAAGTATGGATCGTAGATGTAGACTGGGCAACTTGGAAGGCGCTGAACAGACTGCGCTCTGGCACCACGAGATGCAGAGCCAATCTGAAGAAATGGGGCTACAGGGTGGAATCCACGACATGTGAGTGCAGAGAAGAGCAAACCACAGACCACCTGCTGCAATGCACCCTGAGCCCTGCTACATGCACAATGGAGGACCTTCTTGCAGCAACACCAGAAGCACTCCCAGTGGCCAGATACTGGTCAAAGTGGAGGAGACGTGGTTTTAAAAAGGGAATTTTCAGATATTTCCCCAATGCCCATATGTCATGATTTACTGCCATATTGGCCTATTTCTGCAGTAGGCCTATGTTCACAGAAAATGCTGATTGTTTGAGAAATCAGTGCTCCAAAGAAGAAGTTACTATTCAAGGATAACAGTATATCCGGACAAAACCAGCTAGCTGTTGGCTAGTTAGAACCCCCAAGTTTCCCAGTCGCTCTGAAGCCATGTTTGCAACAGACTAACAGATAAGATACAGTCATGGTCAGAGAACAATGAACCATAGTTATGTTATAGTTGTGCCATTGTTAGGATCCCACGTGTGCTATAATGTCAATCAAAATAATAAACAACTAATGAACAACTGCATAGCTAGCTTAGACCAATGAAATGATTTGTCTTTGGGAACCAATGAAAATGTATATTCCATTTACTATAAATGCTCCGCAGCCCCATTGGGGGTTGCGACAAACCTTTTGATTGCATCCCTGTATGCTTGTTTGTCGTTATTGCTATGGCCACGCAATAATAAATAGTTTTTTGCAGTTTAAAGGATTCAACTTTCGTGGTGCCCATTCTTGCCCTCCCTATTGGAAAGGGGGCTTCTGCCTTTTGGGAAATATTTTGGTTTCATTGCCCCTACAAAAGGACATTTAACCAACTACCAAGTTTGCAAAATCTGAGGTTTTTTATCTGTTTGTTTGTTTTGTTCTGTTAGAAATGTAATACAATGGTCTGGTTGCTGATGACATGATAAATAAATATTTGTGGATACATCACACAGTCCTAGACACTTGGGAAGTGTCTGACGTGAGATCCAGCAGAGTAATCTTGTCTGCTGTGGACTCATCTTATTTCAAATAATAATACAAATACAGAGGAGTCCCAACATCTCTTTTAACTTATCCTACCCATACTATCCCTAGATGTAAACCTTCTCGAACATTAGTTTCATCCCATTTGAGTATTAGAATCAAGATCATCTCAGTGTAGTCCAGTGGTTCTCAACCTTCCTAATGCCGCGACCCCTTAACACCCTTCCTCATGTTATGGTGACCCCCAACCATAACATTATTTTTGTGGCAACTTCATAATTGTAATTTGGCTATTGTTATGGATTGTAATGTAAATATCTGAAATGCATGATGTATTTTCATTCACTGGACCAAATTTGGCACAAATACCCAATATGCCCAAATTTGAATACTGGTGGGGTTGGGGGAGAGTATTGATTTTGTCCTGTGGGAGTTGTAGTTGCTGGGTTTTATAGTTCACCTACAATCAAAGAGCATTCTGAATTCTACCAACAATGGAATTGAATCAAACTTGGCACACAGAACTCCCATGACCAACAGAAAATACTGGAAGGGTTTGGTGGGCATTGACCTTGATTTTGGGAGTTGTAGTTCACCTACATCCAGAGAGCACTGTGGACTCAAACAATGATGGATCTGGACCAAACTTGGCACGAATTCTCAATATGCCCAAATATGAACACTGGTGGAGTTTGGGGAGAAATAGACCTTGACATTTGGGAGTTGTAGTTGCTGGGATTTATAGTTCACCTACAATCAAAGAGCATTCTGAACCTACCAGATAGAATTGGGCCAAACTTCCCACACAGAACCCCATGACCAACAGAAAATACTGTGTTTTCTGGTGTTCTTGGTGACCCCTCTGACACCCCCTCGCGACCCCTCCAGGGGTCCCGACCCCCAGGTTGAGAAACACTGGTGTAGTCCTATGTCTCAACTGTCATGCTGCCTCCCACTTTGGGGGTGAAGAAGCAGCCCGAAGCCTGCCAGGGAAACAAGGCCCGCCTTCTCCCACCTGAGGCTGTTCATGGCCGGTGGGCCACGGCAACGGCAGCGGCCGAGGGGCAGCGGCCGAGGGGCACCGGCCTCCCTTTTTTCCTTCCTTCCGCCGCTGAGGGAAGCGAAGAGCCCGCAGAAAGAACAACGACGCTACCGCTCCTTTTTCGAACCCGACGCCGCTTCCGGGAGTTTGAATGCCGCGGCTTCGCTGACGCCACTTCCGGTTCGTTTGCCGGCCTACGGGGCCAAGGAGGGGCCACACTTAACGCGAAGTTCAGGAAAGTGGGCGGGGACAAGGTTTCCATGATCAGATAGACTCAGCAGTGGGAGGGAGGAGGGCTTCAAGTTGGTATATTGGTGCCAATAAAGCACAAGTCAGTATAGCAAAGCTAAATATAACATTTAAGGATCCTGCTGCACGCAATTTGACACTACTTTAACTGAAATGGTTCACTTCTTAGGGCCCTTCCACACAGCCATATAACAAAGAATATCAAGATCATCCACAATATCTGCTTTGAACTGGGTTATCTGAGTCCACACTGCCATAGAATCCAGTTCAATGTGAATTTTCTACAACTGTATGGAAGGGGCCTTAGAAATTCTGGGAGTTGCAGTGGGCACCACGATTTGAAGAGAGATATTGACAAGCTGGAATGTGTCCAGAGGAGGGCGACTAAAATTTTCAAGGGTCTGGAGAACAAACCCTATGAAGAGTGGCTAAAGGAGCTAAGCATGTTTAGCCTGAAGAAGAGAAGGATGAGAGGAGATACGATTGCCATGTATAAATATGTGAGAGGAAGCCACAGGGAGGAGGGAGCAAGCTTGTTTTCTGCTGCCCTGGAGACTAGGATGTGAAACAATGGCTTCAAACTACAAGAGAGGAGATTCCATCTGAACATTAGGAAGAACTTCCTGACTGTGAGAATCGTTCAGCAGTGGAACTCTCTGCCCTGGACTGTGGTGGAGGCTCCTTCTTTGGAAGCTTTGAAACAGAGGCTGGATGGCCATCTGTCAGGGGTGATTTGAATGCAATATTCCTGCTTCTTGGCAGGGGGTTGGACTGGATGGCCCATGAGGTCTCTTCCAACTCTATGATTCTATGACGAGGCCCCAGCACACCTGGTAGAGAAGGCTAAAGGCTTTGTGAAACTACAGCTCCCATGATGTAATAGCAGTTAAATTGGTGTCAAACTGCATTAATTCTACAGTATATGAACCCCAAAATTGAGGGCCCTTCCACACAGCCCTGTATTCCAGAATATATGGCAGGAAATCCCCCAATATCTGGTTTGAACTGTTATTTGTGTCCACACTGCCATATATCCCAGTTCAAAGCAGACAATGTGGGTTTTTTCTGCCTTGATATTCTGTGTGAAAGGGCCCAGAGTCCACACTGACATATTTTCTAGTTCAAAGCAGATATTGTGAGATTTTTCTGCCTTGATATTCTGGAATATAGGGATGTGTGGAAGGACCCTCAGTCCACACTAACATATATTCCAGTTCAAAGCACATAATGTGATATTTTTCTGCCTTGATATTTTGGGTGATAGGGCTGTGTGGAAGGGCCCTCAGTCCACACTGACATATTTTCCACTTCAAAGCAGATAATGTGGGATTTTTTGCCTTGATATTCTGGGATATAGGGCTGTGTGGAAGGGCCCTCAGTCCACACTAACATATATTCCAGTTCAATGCACATAATGTGATATTTTTCTGCCTTGATATTTTGGATGATAGGGCTGTGTGGAACGGCCCTCAGTCCACACTGACATATTTTCCAGTTCAAAGCAGATAATGTGATATTTTTCTGCCTTGATATTCTGGGATAAAGGGCTCCTCCTTCTCGGACTCCTCTTTCATAAATGACTTTTTATCCCTATCTCACCCAGGGTTTTAACCTTTTAATATTTTACCTCATACATCTGGCCCACCCTTTGCGTTTGATTTTATTATGCCATTTTATATTGTTTATTTTATTTATTTTATTCTTCAAATCTCCAAGTTTTTGCATATATTAATCTTGCAGCCGTGATTAGAAGTATTTCTTTATTCAATTCCAATTTCAGATCTGTGATGCCTAATAAAAAGTATTCTGGTTTCTTCTGTATTTTAATGTCCAATATTTTTTGAATTTCTTCTTGGATTATTTTCCAATATTTTGTGGCCTTCTCACATGACCCCCACATGTGGTAGAAGGTTCCCTCTACCTTCTTACATTTCCAACATATGGTGTTTGTGTTCTTGTACATTTTGCCTGATTTGATCATCTGAATTATATGGCAGTGTGCATTCGGCGTAAGAACCCATTTATTTATCGTGTCTTCAGCAACCATACCATTGTATTACATTTCTAACAGAACAAAATAAACAAACAAATAAAAAAACCCACAGATTTTGCAAGCTTGGTAGTTGATTAAATGTCCTTTGACCAGTATCTGGCCACTTGGAGTGCCTCTGGTGTTGTCGCAAGAAGGTCCTCCATTGTGCATGTAGCAGGGCTCAGATTGCATTGCAGCAGGTGGTTTGCTGTTCTCCACACTTGCATGTCGTGGATTCAACTCTGTGGCCCCATTTCTTAAGATTGGCTCTGCATCTCGTGGTGCCAGAGCGCAGTCTGTTCAGCGCCTTCCAAGTCGCCCAGTCTTCTGTGTGCCCAGGGGAGTCTCTCATCTGGTATCACCCATGATTGAGGTGCTGGGTTTGAGCCTGCCACTTTTGGACTCTCGCTTGCTGAGGTGTTCCAGTGAGTGTCTCTGTAGATCTAAGAAAACTATTTCTTGATTTAAGTCATTGACGTGCTGCTGATACCCAAACAAGGGATGAGCTGGAGATGTCACTGCCTTGGTCCTTTCACTATTGGCTGCTATTTCCCGGCGGATGTCAGGTGGTGCAATACTGGCTAAGCAGTGTAATTTCTCCAGTGGTGTAGGGCGCAGACACCCCGTGATAATGCGGCATGTCTCATTAAGAGCCACATCCTTAGTGTGGTGAGATGTGTTCCACACTGGGCATGCGTACTCAGCAGCAGAGTAGCATAGTGCAAGGGCAGATGTCTTCACTGTGTTTGGTTGTGATCCCCAGGCTGTGCCAGTCAGCTTTCATATGATGTTGTTTCTAGCGCCCACTTTTTGCTTGATGTTCAGGCAGTCAGAGCACGGTCCAGAGTGACTCCCAGGTATTTGGGTGTGCTGCAATGCTCCAGTGGGATTCCTTCCCAGGTAATCTTCAGAGCTCGGGATGCTTGTCTGTTCTTAAAGTGAAAGGCGCATGCTAAAAACCCAGTGCATAAACCCTGACTGCAGCAAATTGAAGTTGTGCTTGAATTTTATCCAGTATGTTGTTTTTGATCCCTGCACAAGGTGGCGGTCTAAGACTGTTTTGACTCCCAGCTTTTGAATAAAAATGAAAAGTCAAGACAAAAATAAAAACCAATGACACGTGGAAAGAAGAGAACATAAAAAGGAGGGCTGCCATTCTGTTTCACAGCACATTACTTATGTGCGTACACTTCACTAATGATAGGGGGAAAGTGTTGTGTGCATTGACATAAATTATGGGGAATACATTTGCACCATGGCATTACTACCATGTAATCTATGCGCAGAGATTTCCCCCTTTTGATGCAATGAGCACTGCAAATTCTTCTGCGCCAGAACTCACAAGTTTGTACCAGTTCTGCATTACACCATAGGCACTGTGGGTGTCAGTTTACACAGACTCTTTTTTTAAAAAAGCCTTTAATAACTAACTCGTCATAGATCCACCCATGAGTTGCATTTCACTGTAATAAAGTCATTCCCGGCTGCCTCCGCCTCCCCTCCTGGCATTTCAGCCTGGAGGCTGCAGAGCCTCTGTACATATTTTCTTAGGCTTCTTCTTTGAAAACTGCTGCTGTTTCAAAAGTCCTGGCAGCAATGCTCCGGGTAATTGTGGAATCGGCTGCAAACATCCCTAAACATAAATTTGGGAAACCAGATCCGATTGTGTCAGTTATTTTTAAAGGTAAGGAAAGCTAACTAACTTGTAAATTAGAAGATGAGAGAAAAGTGTGTTTTTTTAATCTACCAGAGTGGCACAACAGGGGTAAAAGAAGCATGAGTGTTGATATAACTGTATTTACAAAAGACCTGCAACTAATGATAACCTTTGTACAACACAGCTTAGCTTCTTGAAAAATGCTGGAAGTAGTATGGTCTTTTCATCTGGTTTGGCTCGCTTTCAAAGCTCCTAGGAAGGGTTATCTTACCTGTATCCGCATGTAAACTACTCAGATTTCAATTTGCTGCATGTACCAGTGACTTGCAGCTTTGATTTTCAATGGTCTCAATATTTTAATCAGCATTTTATTTTTTCCCCAAAACAAGTAAAGGTAGTGTCTGAGGATCCTTCTACACTGCCATTTAAAATCCAGATTAAGTGCTTTGAATTGGGTTCTATGGCAGTGTAGACTCATATAATCCAAAGCAGATAATGTGGATTATCTGATTTGATAGTCTGGATTATATGGCAGTGTGGAAGGGGCCAGACATTTGCCTTAAAAACTGTTCTGAAACTTTTTTCAATCTCATAAGGTAAAGGTAAAGGTTTTCCCTTGACATTAAGTGTAGTCGAGTCCGGGGGTTGGTACTCATCTCCATTTCTAAGCCGAAAGCCGGTGTTGTCCATAGATGCCTCCTAGGAGCACTGTTACCTTCCTGCAGAAACAGTACCTATTGATCTACTCACATTTGCATGTTTCTGAACTGCTAGGTAGGCAGAAGCTGGGACTAATAGCGGGAGTTTACTCCGCTCCCTCGATTTGAACCGCCAACCTTTCGGTCAGCAAGCTCAGCAGCTCAGTGGTTTAACCCGCTGTGCCACCAGGGGCACACAATCATCAATCTATATAAATAAAAATGTAATGTTCGTTTGTGGGATTAACAGAACTCAAAAACCACTGGATGAATTGACACCAAATTTAGACACACTACGCCTAACAACCCAGTGTATGTCCTTCACTCAAAACAAATGATTTTGTCATTTGGGAGTTGTAGTTGCTGGGATTAATAGTTCACCTACAATCAAAGACCATTCTGAACCCCACCAACGATGGACTTGAACCAAACTTGGCACACAGAACTCCCGTGACCAACAGAAAATACTGCAAGGGTTTGGTGGGCAGTGTCCTTTGGTTTTGGAGTTGTAGTTCACCTACATCCAGATATCACTGTGGACTCAAACAATGATGGATCTGGACCAAACTCTACATGAATACTCAATATGCCCAAATGTGAACACTGGTGGAGTTTGGGGAAAATAGAATCTTGACATTTGGGAGTTGTAATTGCTGGGATTTATAGTTCACCTACTATCACAGAGCATTCTGAACTCCACCAATGATAGAATTGGGCCGAACCTCCCACACAGAACTTCTATGTGTGCCACAGCAATGACTGGCAGGGGACGGCTAGCCTCATTATAAATTCCTTTAAAAAAAACAATTGTGTTTGCTTTTCAGACATAAAGCTTCTTTAAACATTTGCCATAACTTGAGAGAGAAAGCAGAAGTAATACATTTGCGCTTATTAATATTTACTATGAGCTTTATTTATTTTATGAGCCTTGTTTAAACTTTATGTACAGCTTGCAGAGGTTACAATTGGTTTTAGAGCTGTTACATTTTAGGAATCCAACATTAAAACATCGGTTTAAATGTATGGTAGTCCATTAAACTGGAATGTGGCCTGAAGTTTAAATATGTTGTTCTTGTTCAGTCCTTGATCTATTTTGTATGGATACACAATAATAAATATAATTTCATATGCTGGAGTGCTGAATCTGTCATCAAAATTAAATAGCTGCAGTGATCAGAGTTTATGATAGTTACTAAAATGTAATGAAATGTAAAAAAGAAACTGCATCTAGAACATAGTCATATAACATGGAAAACTCACAGCAACCCTGTGATGCAGTGGTTCCCAACCTGTGGGCTGCAGCCCAACAGTGGGCTGCGAGAATGAAAATCCGGGCCACAAACCTCCTTCCTCTCTATGTATTTTATTTCCGCTCTTTTCCGGAGAGCTGACCATCCCAGCCCCATTTGGTACTAATGTCGGAGAGTGGTCCCTGGTCAAAGTGGTCCTTGTTCAAGTGGACCCTGGTCAAAGTGGGCCCTGGTCAAAAAAAGGTTGGGAACCACTGCTGTAATGAAACAGTGGACTTCATTGCAGTTTCATTCTGATTTATTTTTCCCATCCATTTTGGTCAATTAAGTTGGGCTAATGTTAACTTGGGTTAACATTATATATCAGGATCTGATCTCACATTGTCTGCTTTGAACTGGATTATATGAGTCGACACTGCCAAATAATCTGGGATGAGAAGATAATCTGGGACCCCTTGCACACAGCTGTATAAAATCCCACATTATCTGCTTTGAACTGAAATATATGGCAGTGTGGACTCAGGGCGCTTCCACATAGCCTTTTATCCCAGGAGCATCCGCTTTCTGGGGTTGGTGTCCAGATTTTCTTCTGGGACTGGCTCGAGAGAACATCTGGAGACCCTTCCCCACTCCCCCAAACCCTTTTGTAAAGTAAGTAAAAATTACCCGGCCTCCATTACAGTGTTGTTGGGGCTCTTATTCTACGTAGAAATGATGCCCCCCCCCCTGCACTCCTGGTACATCATTTCCATGCGCCAGGAGACCTCCGGCAATACTGTAATGGGGGTCGGGTAAGTTTTCCTTACTTTTAAAATGGGGTTGGGGACTTTTGGGGAGGGGTTGGGATTCCCACAGTTTTCTGGACTAATTTAGTCCGGAAAACTGTGGGAATGGTGTCTGGACTGCAGTCCGGTCGCCAGAAGTAGTGGGTTTATCCCACACCTTCCAAGAAAGCGAGGAATAAATCCACTATCTAATTAATTAGCCACAAACCAGGGTTTTCCTGGTTTGTGGCGAATTAATGGTGGATTTGCCAGAACGTCATCTGGACAGCCCCCTTTTTATTGCAGTAGTTTCTGCAATAAATGGCTGTCTTGATGGGCCCTCAGATAACCCAGTTCAGAGCAGATTTTCTGCTTTGATATTCTGGGATATAGGGCTGTGTGGAAGGGCCCTGTGATCACATCCTGGGACTTTTAGTGCATAGCTTGGTCTTTGAGAGATTAATTACTTGATGACATTAGGATAAAACATAAAACATTGCTAATTCTTAATTTTTTAAAAAAGAAAATCCGTCTTCTTTCCCCTTCTTAAAAAAAATAGCATTGAATGTAATCTCTCCCATCCATTCAAGCTTTGCAAAAAGAAAAAAAAACCCTTGTCAGATGGTGGCTTGGGAAATAGACTTTTGTGGGTGTCTATTTGCAATGAGTACTGAAACTTTCCCTCCTTATTTTATGCAATAGTTAGAACTGCAATCACTTTCATTGATTTTTTTTCAAAATATGAGGCTTTTAATGATGAAAAGACAAAGCCTGATATGTTCTTGATTCATTTGTGATTCAAGTTTTAAAGTTTACATTGACTTTTGAAAAAAAAAACCTCAACTTAATGGAGTTCTGTATGATTGAACTCTGCAGGCGATTTGGCAAGAGATTACACTGCATGTTGTATGGTTACAGTATGCTCTCTGTATTTTCTACTAGAGGAACAAAACCATTTTCTTCCATAGATTCTGTCCCTATGCGGTACTTCCGCCCTGTTCCATTATGCATGCTTTTAAGTGAAAATGAAAACATTTGGAGGCCTAGCAATGAATGTCTTGCCTAATATCCAGTTTTCCCTTAAAAGGGCCCCTGTACCAGCAGTTTGGGTTTTCAAATTGTATTCTGGAATTCTTTGCAAGATTAGCAGCGAGTCTCTGAAATGTAAAGCCCAAAGGTATGTGGTCTGTGCACAGTAATGGTAGGCCTAATAGGGCCTGTCAAATTCCTCTATTGCAGTGGTTCCAAACCTTTTTTTTTTTTGACCAGGGACCACTTGACCAGGGACCACTTTGACCAGGGACTACATGACCAGGGACTACTAGACCAGGGACCATTTTGACCAGGGAGCACTTTGACCAGGGACTACTTGACCAGGGACCACTTTGACCTCCAGGAACTAATTGATCTGGGACYATTTGATCAGGGTCCACTTTGATTAGGGACTACTTGACCTGGGASCACTTTGACCAGGCACTACTTGACCAGGGACCACTTTGACCAGAAACTACTTGACCAGGGACYACTTTGACCAGGGACTACTTGACCAGGGACTACTTTGATCAGGGACCACTTGACCAGGGACCACTTTGACCAGGGACCATTTTGACCAGGGACTACTTGACCAGGGACCACTTTGACCAGGCACCACTTTGACCAGGGACWATTTGACCAGGGACTACTTTGATCAGGGACCACTTGACCAGGGACCACTTTGACCAGGGACCATTTTGACCAGGGACCATTTTGACSAGGGACTACTTGACCAGGGACCACTTTGACCAGGGACCACTTTGACCAGGGACTATTTGACCAGGGACCACTTTGACTAGGGACTACTTGACCAGGGACCACTTTGATCAGTGACCACTTTGACTAGGGACCATTCTCCAACATTAGTACCAAAAGAGTTACGAACCAGTTTTTGGTCAGCTTTAGATTCGGTTTGGTTATTTGGGGTGCTGATTCAGAAAATTGCATTGGCTAGAGCACATTAGTTCTAGTTTCTGATACAGAACATATGCCATCCAGTAGTCACCATTTGCTCACTCACAGAAAACCATATTTAATAATCTAGAGCTGATGTAGTAGTAATCTTTTGTGGGTAGTCAGCCTCTCCCCTTCCGACATCTCTGTTCTTTCAGCACTATAAGAGGGTTTTGCAAGACTAGTTGCTCTCATTCGAGGCAACGGTATAGTAATGATGAGTCCGCGGACCATATTTTCGTTCTTGGATACCACTGGTGGTCCACAGATCACAGGTTGGGAACCACTGCTGTATTGAGTGGACACATCTCCGAATGCTCTGCAACACT